TTTAACAAGTTATCAACTTTTACAGCCCAAAAGAGAATGCCTAGTGGAGAGAAACCTTACAGATGTGAGGAATGTGACAAAGCCTTTCATGGTCTCTCAACTCTTGCAGTACATAAGAGAATTTATACTGGAAAGAAACCCTACAAATGTGGAGAATGTGGCAAATTCTTTAACAGGTGCTCACATCTTACAGCACATAAGAGAATATGTACTGGAGAGAAACCCTACAAATGTGAAGAATGTGGCAAAGGCTTTAACTGGTGCTCAGCTTTTACAGTCCATAAGAGAATTCATACTGGAGAGAAACCTTATAAATGTAAGGAATGTGGTAAAGCCTTTAAGCAGTGCTCGAAACTTAAACAACATCAGAGAATTCATACTCATGAAAAACCTTACAAATGTGAGGAATGTGGCAAGGCCTTTAGTCAGTCCTCAACCCTGACAACACATAAGAGAATGCATACTGGAGAGAAACCCTACAAATGTGAAGAATGTGGCAAGTACTTTAAAAAGTTATCAACTTGTACAGCACACAAGAGAGTTCATAGTGGAGAGAAACCTTACAAATGTAAGGTATGTGGCAAGGCCTTTAAACAGTGTTCAGGCCTTACAACACATAAGAGGATGCATACTGGAGAGAAACCCTACAAATGTGAGCAATGCGACAAAGCCTTTAGCCAGTGCTCAAATCTTACAGTACACCAGAGAATTCATACTGGAGAGAAACTGTACAAATGTGAGGAATGTGACAAAGCCTTTAATCAGTCCTCACACCTAACAAGACATAAGAGAATGCATACTGGAGAGAAACCCTACAAATGTGAAGAATGTGGCAAATCCTTTAACCAGTGCTCAAAACTTACAGTACACAAGAGAATACATACTGGGGAGAAACCTTACAAATGTAAGGAATGTGGCAAAGCCTTTAACGGGTGCTCAGATCTTACAACCCATAAGAGAATTCATACTGGAGAGAAACCTTACAAATGTGAAGAATGTGGTAAAGCCTTTAAGCAGAACTCAAACCTTAAACAACATCAGAGAATTCATACTCGAATAACCTTACAAATGTGAATATATGGCAAGGCCTTTAAGCAGTGTTCAAGCTTTACAACACATAAAACAATGCAAATGGGAGAGAAACCCTACAAATGTCAAGAATGTCGCAAAGCCTTTAACACTTTTTCACCTCTTCCAGTGCATAAAAATGTATGGTAGTATGTACTCTTATACAAGGAACAGTTGATAAAGTATACATCTGAGAAGTGTTCCCTGAACAGGGGTTAATCAGAAGTCAGTATAGTATATTATCATCCAAGAGGCAGGTGCGTTAGTGTCCACAAAGCTCCCTATCTACTATCATGGGTCCAGATAGCCCTTAGGAATTCACCATAGCTTAGAGGAAGCTCTCAACCACACAGTTTTGATGCACTAGGTTGTCAAATATAGGTAATTGAACTTGTTTATGTCTCCATTATTCCCAAATTTATTTCTTCTCTTCCCCCCATAGATAAAGTTCCAGAAAATTTGAGTATCACACATGAAAAAAAAAAATCACACTAACCACATTCTGCCCATCAAGTAAAAATGGGGAACAGGAGATGGAAACAAGTGTTGCAGGGGGAAAGAAAATTGGAGGTTGGAAGAAGTACTGGGTCAGGAGTGTGTGTTTTACGCTCTCACTGGAGTTTAAGATACACGTCACTAGTCATGTCTAATTTAGTCTAAAAGGAAGAGAGATGTGTTTGTCCATAGGTCAGAAGTGTGAAGATGA